GATGTTCTTTGCCAAGAATTTTCTAAGCTAATGCAAAGTGAGTTTGAGATGAGCATGATGGGGGAGCTCTCATTTTTCTTGGGACTCCAAATCAAGCAAAGAAAATATGGCATCTTCATTAATCAAGCTAAGTATGTCAAAGATATGCTCAAGAAGTTTGGACTGGAAAATGGGAAAACTCATAACACTCCAATGTGCTCTTCAACAAAGCTTGACTTAGATGAATGAGGTAAATGTGTAGATGTTAAATTATATAGGTCAATGATTGGCTCTTTGCTTTATCTAACCGCAAGTAGACCGGATATTATGTTTAGTGTTTGCTTGTGTGCTAGGTTTCAATCATGTCCTAAAGAATAACATTTACTAGCTGTTAAGAGAATCTTTAGATACCTTAAGGACACTCCTAGTTTAGGACTTTGGTATCCTAGAGACTCTAGCTTTAGCTTGCATGCCTTTTCTGATGCGGATTATGGAGGATGCAAATTAGATAGGAAAAGCACCTCCGGTACTTGCCAATTCCTTGGAAATATGCTGATTTCTTGGTTTTCAAAGAAACAAAATTGTGTTGCATTATCTACCACTGAAGCGGAATACATTTCAGCCGGTAGTTGTTGTGCACAAGTTTTATGGATGAAACAACAACTTTTTGATTATGGAATTGAAGTAGGTACCATTCCTATCAAGTGTGACAATACTAGTGCTATTTGTCTCACTAAAAATACCATCCAACACTCTAGAACTAAGCACATTGAAATAAGACATCACTTCATTAGAGACCATGTCACTAAGGAAGATGTAGTTCTAGAATATGTTGATACTTTGCATCAATTAGCGGATATCTTTACAAAACCCTTAGACAAGGAAAGGTTTTGGACACTTAGAAGAGAATTAAGTTTAACTAACCTATCTTCACTTAGTGTTTAAAATAATTTAGCACTTTTAATAAATACTGAAAAATGCTTATAATAATAATTTTTGATTGCATTCTTGCTATTAGTTAGGGGGAGTTTATGATTCTTAGTGAAAATTAATTTTATGTTCAAATAATGTTTAAAGATTAATTTAATTGTTTGAACATAATTATTTTTCAATTTATGAGTTACCTATACCACTAGAGAAGATTAATTTAGCATTTTATGTGCTTAAAAGTCTGATTTTAGCATTTTGGTGCAGAGGGAATCGATCCCCCCATGAGGGAACCGATTCCCCATTTGAAGGGGAACCGATTCCCCCCACAGGGGAATCGATACCCCCCCTGGGGTTCTGTTAAAATCGGGCAAGAACACCCAAAACCCCAAAACCTATTCCGCCGTTTCTCTCCCTCAAACACTCAAATCTCAATTCTTGCCTCAAATCATTGATTTTAATCGGAAATCACTTCAAATATCATCTCCTAAACTTGCAATCATCATTAAAATCGTGCAAACAACATCTAAATCCCCTCAATCTTCATCTTTCAAGGTAAATTTTTCTAAACTCTCTATTTCATTGATTTTGAACATAGGATTAGTTTTAATTAGTTCTAGGTTGAAATAGTGATCGGGCATTGATTGTTTAGTGATTAGAAACTAGATGTTACAACTAATTTCATCAAAAACACAAAAAATTTTCCAAAAAATTTTTAAATTTTCGAAATTAAAAAAAAATATTGTTGTTTTTCAAATCATTGTGTTTTGATTAAATTATGTTATTGTTATGAAAACTATACATATATTGTTTCTCAAAACCATATTTTTTTTAAAGTTTTTCAAAAACTTTGCCCATTAGGATTGATTTAGAGAACCTTGAAATATTGAGGACTCAATTGAGTTTTGGGATTAATTGAATTGCATACATTTGTTTTTAAAATTACAGGTTATCCAATCTATTCCGATTTCCTTCACCATGTCTAATCCTAAACGTGTTAGGTCTTCATCTAGTCGTTCACACCGACAACCAAATCCACCTCCAAATCCTCCACCCATTCCAATTTCTAATCCTAATCCTATTGATCCTAATTTGACTATCCAAAATTCGTGTTTCAATCATCCTGGTCCTAGAAATCATCGTTTTTGGTATTATCAATATTTCGACTCTTACAAAATCCGGGAAGAATGTATTCCTTCTCGTCAAGCTATGTTAGCTATCAATTTTAAATATCTTCATCTTTTACAAGAGTGGAAATTTGATAAACTCTTTGACCTTGAACCCATCGTTTACCATCAACTTGTTCGTATTTTCTATTCTAATGCCGTTTGTGTTAAAGACCAAACTGAAACCGAAACCATAGGAATTCGTTCCTACCTTCTAGGAAAATTCTTATATATTGACTCAGCTTACATAGCCAATACATTCGGATTAGATAATGAAGGGATTTCAAATGAAAAACAGGTTTTAGGATCTCGTTATAAAAGAAGGGATAGTGCAAGTGTCCTAGACCTTCATGAACGTTTTCTTCATCTAATGATTTCTTGGTGGTTTCGACCATCTGGAGGTCGTTATTCTACTCTTAGAGCCTTAGATCTTTGGTGGTTACATTGTTTCGAAAACAATATTAAAATCAACCTACCTCAGATTATTTTTGCTGAAATTGTTGAAACCGTAAATCTTGTTCCTAATAAAAAAACTTTGTTCATCTCTTGTTTACGGTTGTATTTTGAGTAATCTGTTTTCCAAAGCTGGGCTTAGAGTCGGTCTAGATGTCGTTTTTCCTCTTAAGAAACAAATTAACTTTCTTTCCTTAACGAGAGCGGGATGGATTAAGGATAAGGAAACCGGGGAATGGGTTCGATCTTCTGCAACTACTCCAGGAGCTAGTTCTTCACAAGCTCCACCTGAAGCTGACGAAGATCTCGAGCTTGAGCAACTAATGCGAGACATCGATGAAGCTGAAGATGAACCTGAGCAGGCCGAGGAGCAGCCCGAAGAGCAAGCACAACAATCGACTCAAATGCCTCCATATTTTCAATCTTTTATGGAGACATTTGATTACCGATATGCGACCATGGATTCGCGCTTTAATTCTATAGAGTCCCCATTTATCCATAATGGGAGCTCAACAATTAGAAATTCTTTGGGAAATGCGTGCAAATAATGAAGCAACCAACGCACGTATTAATGACCTCACTAACGAAATGGCCGCTATGCGAGCTCGTTTTCCTCCTTCTGATCCGGATATATGATTAAATGTTTTACTTTGTTTTCCAAACTTATTGTTTTAACATTTTGAATATTTTGGGATGTTTGAATTTGAGGATTGTGAATTTGTTTGGATTTATGGATGGTTTGAACTTATATGTTTGGTGTGATTTATTTATTATTGCATCATTTACATCATTATTAGCAATATGACCAATTTTGCCATATCACATTATTTATGAATATTGATTACGGAACTAATGGCTAACGTTTCTCTTAATTGTGATCTTAGCAGCTTATGCATACATATACCTAATCAATTGGCTTAATATTTTTCACGTTTTTTTGAATCTTTTTGATTTAACAAAAAGGGGGAGAAGTGTGTTTTAAGTGTGTTTTTAAAATGATAAATGGGAGAAGTGTTAAAGTAAGGGGGAGTAATTTCAAAACTTGATTTCAAAATCTTAAAATTACTAAAATGTTTTGTTATATCAAAAAGGGGGAGATTATTGAAAACATTTTGATATTTCGATATAACAAATTAGTAAATGAATTTTAAGATTTTCCAAAATGATTTTCTAAGTATATTCGATATAATTATTCGAATATCAAAACATTACTCAAAATATTTCAAAAATCATTTTTAATCCTTACTTAAGTGTAAAATTAAGTTTTAATCTTAAAACAATTTCAAAATAATCTTTCAAAGTATTTCGAACCATTTCAAAGCCAAAAATTCCAGATTGCTCAGAGGGAACCGATTCCCCCCCAAGGGGGTACCGATTCCCCCCTAAATGGTTTGGCTCCGAGATTTCCAGAATGCTCGGAGGGAACCGATTCCCCCATAGGGGGTACCGATTCCCCCCTGTTCAACGGTCGAAATATTTGAATTTTATACTTAGGGAACCGATTCCCCATAGGGGGTACCGATTCCCCCCACGCTCCAAACTGTTTTATTAATTGTTTTCACACTAAAACGGCTATATGATCTTCACTAATCATCCCCAACGTTCAGAAGAGATTCAAGGTGTATTTAAACAAGTTCTGAAGCCCTTGATCAACAAGAAATCATAGAGAAACAAGAGAGAAAGCATCAAACATCAAGTTTGTGCAAATCAAGCCAATTTTCCTTTCAATATTCATTTTGCTTTCAAGAACACCATTTGTGCTCATTTGTAATTATCTTTTGAGTGTTCTTTTCTTGTTCTAGAATTGTGCAAACATCTTACCTTGTGAGGTTTTCTTGTAAGTTTGCAAATTTGTAATCTTCTCTTTGGGAAAAAGAGTGTTCTCAAGAGTTGGGGTATACTCTTGAGGGATTTTGTAAGGTTATCTCTTTGGCCTCAAAAGAAAGAACAAATTAATGAATTTGTTGGAAAATCCTTAGTGTGGATAGCTAAGGTAGTGGACGTAGACTTTGTTTGAGAAAGTCGAACCACTGTAAATCGCTGTGCAATTACTTTCAATTTTTCTGCAAAAGCTTCTACGAAATTTTTAATTGCCAATTCACCCCCCTCTTAGCCGATTCCGTCGATCGATTAACTCAACAATTTTAATATTTTTAAAATTATTTTTTATTATAATCCTAAATAATATTTAAATATTAATAAAAATGACATGCCATATTAGATAATAATAAAATAATCCATGTCATTATACGAGTGATAAAAAAAGTTCAATGTCTAAAGTTGAGTGAGCAAATTAAAAAAATTAAAAGTAAGGTGAGTGAAATAGGAGAGAGAGTAAAATTCAGTGAGTAAGCTTGTAATATATCCTAAATATTATTGCCGTAATCTTTCTTTTTATTTTATTTTTCTTTAATTTTTTCCGAATAACGACAAAAATCTTACATCCATAAAATGCCAACCCTTCCTCCCCTCCCCAAAATTCCAGTCCCCTTCTTTCCTTCTTCCTGGTTGAGTTGCTTTTGGAGGATCAATTTCCCCTTTTCAATTCATCTCCTTTGATTGTTTCAGTTCATAGCTTAGTTCATCTCAAGCTTTCTTTTCGAGTTGTGATGGTGATGAACATGAAGCACCCACTATCAAGCTTGCCCCCGGGGTTCAGGTTCCACCCTACAGACGAGGAACTCATCCTTCATTATCTGAAGAAGAAGGTGAGTTCCTCGTCTTTCACCGTTTCGATCATCGCCGATGTCGATATTTACAAGTTCGATCCCTGGGACTTACCTGGTGAGCTTTCGTCTACCAACCCTTTTCATGTTATCATCATATTTGTCATGCCAGGGCTTTGTGTTGACGTTGTAAATGAGTTCTGGTTGTTGTTTTTTGATCAGCTAAAGCTGCCATCGGTGAGAAAGAATGGTACTTCTTTAGTCCTAGAGATCGGAAGTACCCTAACGGTGCAAGGCCGAACAGGGCAGCGGCGTCCGGTTACTGGAAAGCGACCGGCACTGATAAGGTCATAGTTACCTCTACAATGGCGAATGGAAGGGGTGAGGTGCAAGAGAATATTGGTGTAAAGAAAGCTCTTGTTTTCTACAACGGCAGGCCACCTAAGGGGATGAAAACAAATTGGATCATGCATGAGTACAGGCTTATAGACAACCCTAACTCCAATTTCAACAATAGACCACTCAAGTCCAAAGATTCATCCATGAGGGTGAGCCTCATCTTTAAAACACATTTGGCGTCGAAGATAACATTTATTCATAATTTTCTTAACTTATTATCAACGCACACTTACGGTATATGCTTTGATAATTGTGATTTTGACATTGATTATTTCCCAATTGTTTTTCAAATAAAAGCCCCAACTATTGCATTATGCATAGTGGATATATAATTTGATAATGTGGTGCTATTCCATTTGAAATGTACCCTTTTATTCATGTATAAATTTACACTCATTCGTATTCTCTTATTTTTTGTTGTTGTAATTCAGCTAGATGATTGGGTTCTATGCCGGATCTACAAGAAGACCAATGCTTTATCATCAACGGCAACAATAAGTGCAGCAACAAGTGATCAAGAGGAAGAAGAAGCAGAACAATTCATTAAAGATGCGCTTTTACCAGCCGCCATTAAAACCCCTCCACCAACCAACAATGCCCTCCAGCCCCAGAAATCTTGTTCCTTCTCCAACCTGTTAGACGCCATGGATTACTCTTTACTAAGTAGTTTCCTGTCCGACAACCAGTGCAACGGATTCGGATTCGAGCCGTATTCCTTCACCTTCCCGAACATTGAACATCCCTTAATGAACAATTACACCACCAATGGCACCACCACCACCACCACCACCACCAACAACAACAACAACAACAACATCAGCAGCATAAGCACCGGCAGCAATAGCAGCAGCATGACAGTGCAAAAGCTTCCCCAGTTGAGCTCTTCGGTTCCGAACATGGAACACAAACTCAAGCGACAATACTCGAGCATTGACGAGGATTACTTGTTGAACCCATCAAAGAAACCTTGCTGCAGTTACAGCGACAGCAGCAGCCAAACTGATATGACTCACTACAACTTTCTAAACCAGTCCTTCTTCAACCCCAGTTTACTTTTAGGTTCTCACATTCAGTTCCAAGGATAAATTAAAAAACTAAAATTAAAAAAAAAATGGGAAAGAAATTATGGGAAAAGATAAGAATAACAACCAATGATAGTCTAGGTGTGTAAAGAAGGAAGCGTGTATGGGTAGAAACATTGAACTCCATTGGGATGGTATCAAAAAGCTGATCCCATCTCACATAGTCAAAAAGTTGAAGAAAATGCTAGAAATGAAGTTCAAAAGGGAATCAATCATTCATGATTTTTGCAGAAAAAAAGATTATGTAGTAGTGATGGTGGAATTGGCAGCTCAAATTCTCACTTTTGTAAAAAGCGTGTTGCTTGAAATTTGACGAACCGATTCTTTTCTTAGGAAAAGAAAAAGGCACTATTATTATTCTCAACCTAATCAATCACCTCAAATGGAATCAAGGCTGTCATTTCCTTCCTATATTTACAATATTAAGATTCGATCTCCAACATATTTATAATTAATTATTTATAACAATTAAAACCCAAATTTTGTAAGTTCATAATATGAGATTATAAACTGAAAACCGGCATGAACAAGATCATTTAGACCAGCTAATTTAACATGTAGATACACTTGTTTAACTCTTATTACGTTAATCGGACTTTAAATCCTTGATTTGATTCAGTTTGATGGTGGGATAAGAGACAACTCAGGGAGCTGTTCCATTACTGAAAAACAAATAATAAACAATTCAGTACCTAACAAGCACGAAATATTTACAGGAACATCCTCTAAATCATGTTTCTTGATTTGCTAATTCCGTCATTAACAATGATTAGAGAACTTACATGACCGGTGCCTAAACTATATAATTAGTAATCCCCAAGTACAAATCGTGTCATAATCAACGCCAATTTGTCCACGTTAGCTTTGGTTTTTTCGAGAAGATAAGGGTTCGATTATGCTTGCCATTTAAGAAATGTTTAAATCATTCATGGGACCCTTAATTTTTTTTTAAAAAAACCTTGGCTAGAATATTTATGCCGTGCAAAATTTTATTTAACTAAAAGGGAAAAGGACTTAACTGAATAATTGACTTTTAACATGGACTAAATATGTAATTTTACCATTTAGACGGGCAGGTGAATGTAGAATTTTGGGGATTAATATTAAATTATAAATTTTATGAAAAAAATGTAATTTTACCATCATACTACCTTATAATCTTACTGATTTTAAAAGAATTGAGTCACTTTTTATTTTAGGATAAAATATAATTATATCGGCTTAATATAACTTTTTCATGTACTTTAACCTAATATTCATTTTGGCCATTGTACTTTTTTTTGTTTTTGAGTTTGTCCCCTTTGCATTCATTTTGTTTAATACTTTACCCCTTTAACATTACGATTCAGAAGATATCAGTTACCTAATTAGAACATTATATATGCAGGTGCGGATGCACTGTGTCCTTGGACTCAAGTGTATCTTATTATTTTGAAAAAAAATATATGAAAATAGTCTAATGGAGGAGAAAAAATAATGAAATTTGCACTCATTTTTTTAAATGTATTAAAATTTTGGACCTTATTTTTTAATTTATAGATTCGGCACCGGATATAATAATAAAAAAATCCACAGAATATAAAATAGAGATATTGTATTTTTTTAGAATAACAAAAATGAGATAAAACGTTAGAAAGTAAAAATACACAAGTAAAATGGGGGGATTACATTGGTCAAACCGATACTAAACGAGAAATTTATTGTTATTTTTTGAAGTTTTAAGTTTGAGCAACTCAAATATTATGGATATAGACGTTTATCAAATAGTCTAGAATCTTTAAATAGATGTTACATTGTATTTACCTAAATTTATCAGAAAATATATATATTTGTCTTCGTACCTCTTAAAGAAAATAATTTTACTTCTTTAAAATGCATCATAATATCTAGACATTCATAATTCTTTATCCTTAAAATTAGATACATTTAGCACGAACCACGCGATCTCAGTGGTTAAGAGACTTGTTGTTATCCCTTGACGTTCTGGGCTCGAACATCTTAAATCTCAAGAGTATGAACATTCATCGTCAAATATTTGATAGTATTTGAACATATACTACCTTGTATATACACCATATATATATATATATAAAAAATTAGATACATTTATACTTAAACATATTCGAACTCATAATTTCTCGACTGTTATAATAATAATGATGCTAATGAAACTAATATTCAATAAAAAGATATTACAAGTTAAATCATCCCAACTGTTAAAAATGGGAAATTTCACAATGACCCACAATTATTTATTAAAAAAAGTGTTACTCGCAATCATACGAAGGATTTGGATAAACCTTAAATTTTAGTACATAATTAATCCAGAAATCATTAAAAACAATAATTCCAGTTTGCTAATGAAAAAACATATTGGTTATGCATTACTTGAAGAAGCCATGTGTTGGGGAAGAAATCGAACAACAGAGGCAAAGAGGAAGTACAACCGGTGTTTTCTCTCTCTTTATAACACATGTCGATAATTATGGCAAACACAATAGCACTAAATATGTTCTCCAGAAATACTAACCAACCAACATCAACCAATGCAACCAGGAAAGCAATAAAATGAGACATCGATATTTTTACATGGAAAACCCCTCTAAATTAGGGTAAAAACCATGAGACTTTAAAGTCCGATCAAAAGCTCAACTATCAACAAATGTTCAAATACAAGACTACAATATCCAACCTACAACGAGCATACAACTCTAACAAAGGCTAATAACAAGTAGTCTTTAGCAAAAGAGAGAAAACTGAAAAATATCACCGAAAAACACAGCCTCCTGAAAAATGGGTATTTTTGACGCTACAAGACACATATGGAAAATCCAACCGTACAAAATCAATAACACCTTGTCTCCTAGCTGTTGTCCAAAAAAAGCTCAATCAAACTACGAATGGACCTCCGATCGAAGAGTTGATCACTGCTAACAAACTTTACAAAAACTATTTTTCTCCCCTTTGGTTTTCTCTCTCTTGAGCTTTTCTCTATCTCTTTCAATCTGATATTGTTTTTGTTTCTCCCCCTCATTTTAACACAAAAGCCAAAGATAACTTTTCACCAAAAGTCAAAGATAATAAATGCATGACAAAAACCTTTTTCAACAAACAAGCAACCTATTTTATGGTTGCCATTTTAGGTTGTAACATATTTCCAACCATATTTTAGGTTGTAATACATTTCCAATCACATTTTAGGTTGCATCACATTTCTAATATGCTCCATATTTTAGGTTGCTTTATGTTTGCACTACAATTTAGGTTATAACTCCTTTTTATATTACAACCCTTTTCAAAGGTTATGGGTTCCCATATAATGGGACCCACATAAAAATCCCCCCTTTAACTATGTGGGGAATGCCTCATGTCGGAGGTCAAACAACATGCCTCAAACTTTGCTATTGGTAAGACATTCATCAACATATCAGTGCCATTATCATTAGTGTGAATCTTTTCAAGTTCTAACAGTTTAGCTTCAAGAACATCTCGTATCCAATAGTACCTCACATCAATATAATTTGATCTAGCATGAAAAGTTAAGTTCTTACCAAGATGAATCGCGCTTTGGCTATCACAATACAGAACATGCCTTTCTTGAGTAAAACCAAGTTCATGCACAAACTTCTTCGTCCCAAGTATCTCCTTGCATGCTTCGGTCGCTGCAATGAACTCTGATACGGTGGTGGACAATGTAAATACCTTTTGCAATTTCGCTTGACATGCCACAACTTCCCCCACATAAGTGATTAAGTAACCTGAAGTAGATCTTCTCGAGTCAATGTCCTGTCCCTGTCTGAATCTGTATAACCAACAAGAAAATGTTTCTCATTACCGAAACAAAGTTTCAAGTTGGAACTACTATAGAGATATCTCATGATCCACTTCACTGCATTCCAATGCTCTTTGCCTGGAATAGAAAGAAACCGACTAACTGTACCAACAATATAAGCCAAGTCTGATCTCGTGTATACCACCGCATACATTAAACTACTCACGGATGAAGAGTAGAGAACTTTTTGCATCTCTTCCTTCTCATTTTCTATGGAATGACTATGCTTGAAACTCAATCTGAAGTGCGTAGCAAAGGGAGTATTCATCGCTTTAGCTTTTTTCATACTAAATCTCTGAAGTACCTTCTCAACATACCTCTCTTGTGATAACCATAATTTCTTGGCCTTTCTATCACTTGTAATCTTATTCCAAGAATTTACTTTGTTGATCCCAAATCCTTCATCGCAAAGGATTTGCTCAACTTTTGCTTAAACTTCTCAATTATATAAGCATTATAACCAACAAGAAGCATATCATCAACATAGAGCAAAAGGATAATAAAATCATCAACAGATAATCTCTTGACAAAAACAAAATGATTAGAAGTGGTATTCTTGTAGCCTTGCTCCCCCATAACATACCCAAACTTCTTGTACAATTACCTTGGAGCTTGCTTCAAATCGTACAAGCTCTTCTTCAACCTGCACTCATAGTCCACTTTCCCTTGTACGATAAATCCTTCTAGATGCTCCATGTAAAGCTCTTCTTCCAAATCACCATGAAGAAAAACAGTTTTCACATCCACTTGTTTGACCTCTATGTCATAACAAGCTGCCAAACTCAGTATAGTTTTGATAAAGGACATCTTTACAACCAGAGAAAATATTTCTTCATAATCAATCCCCTTTTCTGAGTATAACCCTGACGACCAATCTAACTTTGTATCATGGAGATGAAGACTTCTCTTCTTACTTTTTCCTGTAAATCCACCAATTCTTCAAAGCTCTTTTACCATTAGGCAGTTTCACCAACTCAAAGGTATGATTTTCATGCAAGGATTGAATTTCATCTTTCATTGCTTCAACCCATTGATATTTGCATTCACTCTCCATAAACTCTTCATAACACTGAAGTTCTTCCCCATCAATAAAAAGAACATACTCATTAGAAGAATGCCTGACAGAAGATCGTCGATCTCTGGAAGACCTCCGAAGTGAAACTGTTGGTGGAGTTATAGCTGCTTGTTGTTGATCATTCACAACATCATCCATAGGAGCA